GCTCACCCCCAGCCCAGCCTGTGCCTCGCACTGCCCTGCGCCAGCCTCGCCGTGGTGCTGAGGAATGGGCTCCTTACCTTCTGCTGCTATGGTTTAAGGCCAGGAGTAAAAATGCCAATCAGTTTTTGCTGATATTGCTGCCTAAAAATACAGGGAAATAAGTAAAAAAGATATAAATGAAACTGTAATAATCTTTAAATAAGTGACCTGAAGTTACTAACTAAAAGAACATGTCCTACCTTCATTTTTTTTTTGACAAGGCATATTTCGTCTAAGAAAGTGATTGTTTCCACATGTCTTCCTTGCCCTAGTGCTGGTTTGCAGTCAATGCTGTGATGTCATGGTTCAAACTTGCCATCTCAAGTTCACATTTGACTCGGCCGGTGTGGCCTGGAACCCTTTCCAGTGCCACCTCAGCAGAGCTGCCCCAAGTACTGGAGCTGCTTTACTGAGCAGTGAAAAAAAACAAGGTAAACACCAGAGTGAGGGACAAAACACCCACCCACCACTACTTCAATGTTCTAGAGCTGTCTAAAAGCATCATCCCCATTCGCACCAGGTCCGTGGGCACAGCCCCAGCAGAGCTGGGCCCGGGGGTACCTGTCCATGAGGTGCTCACTCTGCCCCGCCGAGAAGATGTGCTCAGTGGATACAGGGCAAAAACAAGAACCTGAATGGATAATTCAAGGATACTCTGGACTTAAAGGTAACTCAATGTATGAAAGTAATAAATAAAACACTTTTTTTTTTGTAAGAATGGCTACATCAAGCTGAGTGAAGCAAAAGGCTGGAGAAGATGCAGTCAACAATTCTCACCTCTTTCAAACAACATGGAAGATACAGTGAGTGTTCCACCCTACGTGCTTATTTTTGTTCGTTTACTTTACAGAAATGTTTATGGCATGAAGTACTGTATAAGAAATGTGCATACACAAATACGTGACAATTATACGTTAAGTTCTTTACAATATTAAATGTATAATATACAATTCTACAGATATCTTACATACAAAGGTGAATGTTGTGCCACATATTCAAACATGGCAATGCCTAGCAACTTTAGAATGTCGTACAAGTATAAAACCACAAAATAAAATAACTTTACAACTCTTAAAGTAGACAGATTTGCTCAACTGTTCTGCTAAGGTAGCAGGCCAAGCGGCCACGGTTGCCAGAAGAGACTTCCGAGTTGGGTGACCAAGGTGAGAAAACCTGCAGAGGTCTGATTTTCCGTGGACAGGTAGCCAGCCCTTTTCCAAAAATCAGACCTCGGACAGTCAGTACAGCTCATCGCTTTTGAAAATATTACTCTTTGAAATTTGGCCTGATGGTAGTCAATTGGCATTAAAGAGTTGCTGACCACTTCGCACTCTGTCCCTCGTTCTGTATGGCCATTTATGCATCTAAAGAGAGTTTAATTAAAATTCAGCACCTACAACAGTATTCTATAAATTAATGTGGGAGAAACTAACTCACGCTTAACAAGGAGTTCGCTTTGAGGAGCCAATCGTGCTGAACAGCAGCACCAGGACTGAGCACTCGCAGACACGGCGCTGCCTGCCGAGCTGGGGGGCCCTGGGGACCCTCCTGCACCCCCTGGCTCAGACAACTGTCGGAGTAGGAACTTAGGGACTAAAGGGACTAAAGACTCTCACCCAGAGGCAGCCGCGGCACGGTGCGAACAGCTCTTCGCAAGAATTCCGGACCCGTGAAGAGTAGGCTTGTCCAAAATCCTCCAACTTCCCTCCTACATGTGGGCTTCTAACATGACTGGTAAATGACTAACAAGGGGTGGCAGAGCTTGCCTAGCAGAACCACACTTCTTTGATGATGCAAAACTTAACAGTTTCTGTGTCAAAACAAGACAGGCTTTAAGAGAGCTACAGCTTCACGTGGGGTATGCGACCCTTGGGTGATGGCGGATGGCATTTTCTTTTGTGCTTCCAGATCCCTTCTGTTGCAAACATTGCCATAATCAGCCTTCTCTAATTTTTTGTCACCTTTTTTTGTTTGGTCTGCGTGGGGTTTTTAGTACTGAGCACCAGTTGACTATAAATCAGTCCTTTTCTGTTCTGGATCCTGTCCACAGAGAGAGACTTGGGTTGAAAACGTAGTATAAAAATAAGCCATTTGCCAGTGTGAGTACAATCACAGAGGTGTTCCGTGGTGTCTGGAGGCGTAGAGCACGTCCGACAGGGAGGAGGTGTGGCAGCCAGGGAAGGTCACAGCGCTGGGCTATCCTTGGGAAGGCTCCTGCCGAGCCACCCGCTGCTCTGGTCGCTCCTGCTGCACACGTGCAGTCCAGGGCTTAGGGAGCTCTGCCTGTTCACACCACTCCGTGCGGCCCAGAGTCCATCCCTGGGCCTGCCATGCCCAGCGTGCTCGGGGACTGCGCCGCCCGTTTTCAGACGCATCTCACGGCTGGCTGTGTGACAGGTAGTTTCAGAATACCACTAATTGGCAACATAAAGTCAAATTCTGTTTGCTAATACTGTTTTGCAAATCCTTAGTGTTTCACATAAGGGGCTATTAAACACTTCTACGGTTACAAAGGGGCACGGGGAGGGTCTAGTCCAGGGGCTCCTGTTTTATTCTGATCGTCGGGGTGGGTTGTGGTCGTCTGTCCTCGCGACACAGCACGTATTCACTGAACTGAGAGGAATCCACCCCACCACCGCAGGACGCTGCCACGGTAAATCCCTTCTGAAATAATCTTTCAAGCACCTGCAACGTGGGGGGGAAAATCAGGTTAATATTTAGCGGATTTCAGTGATAAAAGCATTCGGAAGCACCGGATCTAAATGATGGATTTAGTCTTTCAAGTCCTTGTTGAATGAATATTACTCAGCTATAATTCTATAACTTATTGTTAAATGACTATACTGTGATTAAAGTCTCGCTCTCAGCAAACCTCTGTAGAAAACAAAAATTAATCAAAGAAATAAGCACACTGCAGAGCAGCTCAGTGCATTACACAGTAAAATACTGGACTGTGGTGATATTGATGCTATCTCTTACCGCTTATAGAAAGCAACATCAGGTTTAAGTTGTAATAAAAAGTGCCCATTACTCATTAGCAATACGAACAGTCTTACAGAGAGGGGCTGAGCAGCTCTTCCTTGGCAGATGGAAATGTTTTGGAGCCCGAGTGACACCTCCACTAGGCTCTTGGCGGCCACCGTCCCTCGCTGAAGGGAGCACGGCTGCGCGGAGCGGCAGGGCTGGACGCAGAGCCAACACGTGCACCACAGGGACACGCTCTGGCCCAAGAAAGAGGTTCATTTGTACTGCCCAAATATGTATTTTCTTTCTCTTCCTAAAGAAAAGTTGGTGCAATTTAGATGCATGAATTTAAGAAACCCAGAGGCCACTTTAATTTCTGCGACCGTCACGCAGCACATTTCCCCGGGCTATGCTGATCTGGGCCATGGGCAGTGTTCACATGCAGGAGGGCGTTGATGCAGAGCTGCCCTGCGGAGCAGGACACACAGACTCCTGCCAGGGTCAGCCGGGTGAGAGCTCTGCGGCAGCACCCCGGGGAGATGCTGTGCTGCCTCCTCCCAGCGGAGCACCCCGGGGCAGCAGCCTGCAGGAAGGGCTCCTGTGTGTCTCTCCACTGATGAATCCTGCCCAGCAGAGCAGCCCGTGCTGGCTCTGCCTCGCCCCAGGCTGCAGTAGGTGGGCACAGGTTTGCCACACCTGATGACCTCGGTGCCACCACCCCCACGTGCCACCCACAGCGACAGGGAGCGAGGCACTCCAACAGCTGTGCACCCAACCTAGGGCAACGGACCCACCTTCAGACAGAGTCAGCCCATAACCTCCACAGGCTCAGGTCGTGGCAGGCACTGACCTTCCCTTTCAGCCGTGCCTGCCCCGTGAGCAGTTACAGCGACCTGGTGCACTCCACGTCCTCCCTCACACACCACGGGAGCCCACAGGGCATTGCTCACTGCATCTTTTGCCTGAATGTTGGCTTTGCTTTCTCCAGAAACCTCAATTCAGAGGGACAACTGTGTCCAGGGTGGTGCTGTAGTGCAACACAACCCACGGCAGCAGCATTTGCTGGTTTTAAGCCTTTCGGTCCCTCCCTGGAGGCTGTTACCATCTGCCTCTAATCCAGAGTTCTGCTCCCCTGGCTGCTGAGGACAGGCAGAGGAAAGAGGCTGCTCCAGCACAGCTCTGCCGAAGCCGAGCAGAGTCTGCTGGCGATCACCTTGCCTGAGGCACTCTGCCTGGCCTCGGGACACAGGAATTTAACCTTCTCAAAGTCACATCTGCCAAATCTCCCTGACTTTTGCCCTGATTTTTACATACACTGTAAGAAAGTTGTAGAACAGAAAGATCAAAAAAGCACACCAGACTATGGAAGAAAAATGAACCCAGAGAGATGAAAAGAGGGGGCAGGAGAGTGGGTCATCAAAATATACTTAGAAGACAGAAAGTTTTCAGCTCTCTTACTTGTCCAGGCTGTATGTGGCCTGTAGGACAGAACCGGGTGCAGACTTTAGCACGTGTTCCTCCTCAGAGAGGAAGGCAGGAGGAGTTTGGGACGGAAGGAGGCTGCGGTTTCACAGGCTGGAGTCTATTTTGACCGTATTATGTATCACTGCTCCTAGCCCTGGCAAGGATGAAGAGGAGAGGCAACCCAGCCATGGAAAAGGAGGCTTCTCCCACTGAACTGCCTAGTGGAACAGAGGATTGACAGGTAAGATTTCAGAGAGAGAGATGGGACTTCAAAATCCTCACTAAAAACTCTAAAAAATCAATTTGCTTGTAAGACAAAACAATCACGGGGTGCCCTTGGCTTGCCTCAGACCAAAGCCATGGAAGGCTGTGTGTTCACATGGGATTCCTCCTCACTGAGCCTACTCTCTGCCAACACCAGTCCAGGTAGACATTACACCTCAGAGCAGCGCGTGCGGAACAAAGGGACTCAGCTCTGCTCGAAGGACGAAACTGCAGGCTACAACCTAGTGCTAAAAACCTCGGGATCATCAGTTTTCTCAGCAAGAAACAAAACAGGCCAAATCCTGTAAGCAAGGCAGAGAACCTTTAAATATTACAGAGTTTTAAGTGTCGTTTGGATGAGGCTGAGCTCAGGTCTAAGGACAAAGGCTCCTCCAGTGCTTCCGTACGCACCAGTGTGTGCACCAGACTGACCTGCACTTTGAACACACACAGGTTTCAATCCCACTCAGAGACTTTGGCTCTATGCATGGCACTCCTGAAAGTAAGACATGGACAAAGGGCAAGCAGTAACTGTCTTGGAATCTAATCAGAGTTGCCTTCCTGAAAATCTCCAAAGAGAATGAGCCACAAAGTGAGTATCAGCTATGACTTTCCTGTGTACAGCGACACACACAGAGTATTAAATTGAGGATTTGTGCTAGGATACACTGTATTCCAATATTCCAAGCACATCTGATTTTGTTGGAAGGTTTTCCAAATGGAAACATGATCCTTTCACTCACTGCATTTCATTTAAGTAATTCTTAATTACAAAGACTCACTGTTCAACATACACAAGTATCACAGAGTTTTCTCTAAGGTAAACTCATGATTCTCACCAGGATTTGTTGCAGAGTTAAAAAACACCCTCTGTAATTATATATAGTTACAAATGGATGTGAAATTAAGCATCACTGTAGTTTTTTTCCTGCCATTCCCTATTCAGTGTTGTGCATAGTTCTTGATACAAAGCATTTAATGAAAAAAATTTCCAAATATCAAAAAAAAAGTATAAATACTGCAATTGTGCTATCAAATACATTCAGCAGGGCCCAGGGAGAAAGAAGTGATGTATCTCAGCCAACAGCAGAGAGGCTTCCTATGCTGCTCTCTGGGACTCTTAGGAAACAATTCTGCTCTTCCAACCACCTCCCTTAAGTCTGTGCGTTTGCCTCACTGCACGTCCAACTTCTGACTTCACACTGTTTTGCCAAAAAGATCCTAGGAAGGGGGAGGGCAGTGCCTGTGCACTGACCAGAGCCCATCAGAGACAATGATAATTAGCCCTTGCTCTGCGAAATGCATCATTTTCCAGAAAGCGTTTGAAAACACTTTCTATTAATTATATAGTAAAATGTCATTTAGTAAAATGATGTAATTTAAAACTCTTACTTGTACTGCAGACTCTCTGACAGAAATTCTTTCCACAATATGAACTCATGAAGAGATTCTTTGATTCTGTCTGAATTTTGACTGAATTCAAAACACATTCAAATAATGAGAGTAATTAGCATTCTGCTTTTCCTGCAAGCACACATATCCTAGGAGTGACCCCTCTCTGGACACAGGAGAGCCGAGTGCTGAGCCACGTGGACCTCCAGCTCCCCGGGCCGAGCTGCTCCGTGGTCACAGTGCCTTGTACTGTTCCAGTTACTCTAACTCCTTGTGTGCACCTCCCTGGACCACAAACGCTCCTCCCTACCCACCTACCCGAGCCAAGCTGCCCCTGTGCCCCCGCGCTGTGCCACCCCCCAGGCCTGGGGCAGCCCCTGCACCTCCAGCTGGGAGCTACCCCTGCCAAACCACCAGGCACCAGCCTGGCACAGCTGGACCAAACACACCGCCTGGAACCAGAGAGCACCCCAACCCGCTGGGAGAGCTGCCCCATGCAGGGAGGTGTCGCTGCCAATGCAGGTTGTTACAGCTCCAGCCACCTTCACACGCGGAGCTCACTGCAGGGCTCCCGAAAATGCTGTCAGCTTGGGAGCTGTAAGAACCACACAGGTGAGCGAGGCCTCTGGGTTCTCGCCCTCCCCCTCCCTCCCCCCCAGTCTGGCCTGCCTGCTCCGTGGGCCAACTCTTCCACAGGTATTTGCCCACAGGGAGCTTATCAAGACCACTAAGGCATCTCCCACAGCCCAGTTCACATCTGCAGCCACAGCCCAGCTGCAGGGGACAGTAACTTGGGAGACAGTCCCCCACAGGCTGAGTTCCCTTTCCATAACACGAGCGTTTGCAGCACATTCCCAAGGCACACGTGAAAACCAAGAGCTCTGTTTTGCCCTTGTTAATTGAGGCACAAGTCACTGGCAGCATCACCCCGTTGCTCCCCACAGCCCAGGACAGCCACACCACCGAGCGAGGTGACCTGGGACACGGCAGTGCTGCCTAAGCACAGGCCCCGCATTTATTTCTGCTTTTCTCTCTGTCCAGTTATCTTCTTTTGTTTCACATGTTTAATTTTAAACCTAATGTCAAAACTCTGAGTATAAAATGAAATACATTTTGTTTAAAATACTCTGGGCAATTTTTATAGAACATCCTTTTGAAAAAAAAAAAGTGCAGAGATCAATTTTTTTAAGTCCATCCCGCAGGCACCATCATTTAATTATGAGTGAGACATAAATTATGCATTTACACATTGTTGCATTTTCTATAAAATGGTGTGGAGATTTTTTTTTGTAGTTTTTGGAACTCTCTCTTTCTTCCTGGAGGCACTTTGGAGGAAAAAAAAAAACTGCTGAAGGCTATACATTGATGAAAAAATTAGCATTTATCAGTATAACACCATTATGAGACCAGCATGGCACTAACATACACAAAATCTAAATCTATTTTTCTGCTTAGACCTAGGAAAACCTGAAAGACTGTGATCTCACCAGGCAGAAAATGTCTCCTTGCAGTTTAAGCACTGAAGGTAATTGGGCAGAAGCAAATAATTTGCATATAATTGGACAAGCAATAATAACCCCAGCCCAGCAGGGCGAGGAGGCAGCACGGAGGGGCCGTTACCTGCACCGAGTTCAGGCGGCAGTATCCGTTCAGCGGGAAGCGGATGACGTGGGTCGGGTCCTGGTTCCAGCCCGCGTTCACCGAGTTGCACATGACGTCCCCAGTCTCCGGGAAGATCTCTTCTATCAAAGCTTTCTCCCCACTCAGTGCAATCCTCTCCCCCAGATCTGGAGTCACTCTTACGACCAAGCAGTCGCAAGGCTGGAAATGTTTCCTTTGTTCTTTCTCCTGTTTCCATCGCTCCAGTTCCTTAATCATTGGCTGCAGCTGGTAATACTTTGCTTCTTCATATAAAAGATTAAAGTCCTGGGGAAAAAAAAAAGAAAAGAGGGAGAGAGAGAAACTAGAAATGCTTATAGTTCTCTTTTAAAAATGAGTATTGTTCCTGTTTGACCTACTTAGGCTTATGTATTGTCAGCAAGAGCACAAAGGCAACAGGTATCCACATACTTTGTCCTTGACTTACACCTACACAGAAAACCTCACAGTGCTAGTGCAGAACCTATTTGAGCTGACCATGAAGTTCCCACTGCACCGAATTACCCTTTCATTCGTTATCCCACAAGCTCAGTGCCAGGAGGCTTTACTTCTGGGTTAAGAAATCAAAATAGCTGGTTGCAATAAACAAAGCCTGCTGATGTAAGAGAAGATGTTCAGAGCCCTAATCTTCACTCACTCTTGGTCTCAGATACTCCTATCTTACAACGAGCTCAGGCCTCGCTGTCGCCTCGTGCACACATTACGAGATGGAGATGTCAGTTCAGCTTCACTTCTCACCTGTCTTTGCTAAGTCTGGAATTCAGCTACAGCAGCTCAGCTGCTCGCTGTGTTTCATGACTATTCATGTATTTAAAGTGTACTGTGGAGCCTGGTAAATTCTATAGAGGTAGTGTCCACCCTGCTGGCTGGGAGCTCAGCTGGGCACTCCAACAGCAGAAAAGAAACACTTCTTCCCTGCCACTTGTTCAGCTCATCACCTCACCTGGGCTTTGGGCAATTCAAATTCCCAATCTGATCCAATTCCCAGTTCACTGATTGAGATGTCTTCTGCACATCCTCATCAGATGCACATCCTTTCATCAGATTTCTGACAGATCTTCCCACCTCTGCTGAAATGTGTGTATGTGGAGGCAAAAGGTGCCAGCAGCCCCCAGACCCCAGGACGCTGCAGTGCCCCCCAGGCCAAGCCAGAGAAGAAAGAGAGGGGCAAGTCCCCAGCAGGCACTTTGCTTACACTGGCTCTGCCTCCTTCAGAAAGGAAGAGGAGCAACAGAGCACAGCACCAGCTCCTCCCAGCAAACACTGCTGTTCGCTCTCCTGGCCCTGACACCTCTTCACGGATGCAAACGCTGGAACAAAGGCCAGTTCTCCCCCAGTAAAATGAAACGCAAAATCACAAGAGCAAAATGACCGGAATAATTTGGACTGGAAAGAATGGCATGATAACAAGTAATCAAGAAACCGGCACCAAAATAATATAAAAAATAACGGGTGTGCTGCTGCCCCAAGACTCGGGGAAGATGGGGAATCAAAGGCCAGGGAACGTGCAGACAAAAAGGTGCAACTCTTCATAGCGGCTTGGAATTAACCTGCAAAATCTGCTGCTGCAGGGTATTACTGAAGCAAAGCACTTAGCTCTGTTCAAATTTGGCACCACAGACCCACCGCCGGTGGTGGAGGTGCTCCTTCACCCCAGGGCTGCCTGCAGCCTGGAGACTATGAATATTCACAGTGACAGCGGCAAGGTTATCGCCTTACAAAAGGGACATCCAATCCTTTACATCTCTTTGATGTCTGTTAAGGCTGGGACAATGCATACACTGCTCAGGGAGAAAAAAGGACTGGAGCAGGAGCAGAGAGGAAGAGGGATAAGAGCAAGAGGGAAGAAATGAGGGCAACAAACACACTCATGGGACATAGCTTGAAGATGAAAAACAACAGGAAGATTAAAGAAGGAATCACACAGAAAGCTGCAAACCACCAGCGCTGGGAACAGGCCAGGTAAAGAGGTGTGGAGACTGGCTGCACTACTGGGTCTCAGGTAAGGCAGCATCAGCCCCAAAGCCTCACACCCCAAGGAAGGTGTTCTCCCCCTTCCCCAAAATTAGCACTCTGATGAACCATTACTGCTTTTCTCTGTTCACTGGTGAAGCTCCCTGGATACTGAGCAGTGGATCAGTTTATACCTACAGGGATTAGTGGCCTAAATTAAGGAACATCCCCCGCCCCAAATTTTCTGAAATCCTCATGCAGCCCACCACCCAACTGTGCTCCCCACAGAGGTGTGTGCAGTGGCCTACCAGGCATTCACCTGGCATCTGCTGGTGCCACGGGTCTCTTTTTCAAGCAAAAGGAAACACGTAATGCTAAGGAAGACTGTCATGCTGCAGAGTGAACAGGAGTACCCAGTGCTTACTGAAGACAATGGAAAGTCATCTGCTGTTCTCAGTAGGTTCTGAGAAACTAGCTTTAAAGAATCTGGGATTATGGTCACTATAAAATAAGGTATTCTTTGTAAGGTCAATCAAGTGAATACGTGTTAAGAAAACTCAACAGTAAAACCTAGAAGAGATGGTGCAGCAACAGAAAAACCCGTCCTTCGTTTTCCAAGGCCGAGCAGTACAGAGCTCCTGAGGCTGGGTGCAAAGCCCATTACATTCATGAGAGTCTTCGGCTGCCTTTGCTGGGCTTTGGACTAGCCTGACAGTATCCTGAATCACAGGAGTTCAACGGTAAAGCACCCCAGGCCAAAACAGTAATCCCATAAACCAAACAAAACCAGGATCACACTACCCCTACCTCCCCCACAGCCCTTACCCACCACACCAAATGCAGCTCAAATGACTCCTGCTAGCTGTCATTTGCCCTAAAATAAACAGGATAAATTTTATATTCTGATAGCATTTTGCGAGAAGACAACCTGCTTTCAAATGAACTTCCACTACTGTTCCCAGATGATACAGCCACGCCTCGGGTGGCTGTATGGAAACTGGGGCTGTGCTGGAGCATCACATGCTCTGTGGGACAAGGTGGGCACCTGATCACAGAACAGTCAGTGCTGGGACTCACAAGGATCACTGAGTCCAACTTCACTCGGAAGCGCCCGGGTTAAGCCACAGTGTTTGGGTTAGTTTCTACAGTAAGACTGATCCCTGTATCTAGTCCACACTTGGGGTTAGCACCAATATGCTGGAAAAGATTGTGCACCTGGAAGAAAGGGTCTGTAAGAGATGCTGGGAACTGAGTTGTGCTGGTGTGAAGAGGCAACCTGCACGTGTGGCATTAGGGTGTCTGGGCACCTATTGTCAGGCAGTGGCAATAAAGGGGATTTGTTGTGCTGTAACAAGTAGGGGGGATAAAACAGTGTCCTCTGCTAGGCAAGAGAAACACAGGCTGCCCTGCCCTGCTCCTCTTACAGGACATCTGGTGTTCCTGCACCAGGGGACCGGGGCGTCGCTAGGGAGTCTGACAGTGCGTTTAGGGAGGGAAGATTTTGCAAATCCAGGAACAAAGAATGAGTGGCTCAAGGCATGGAGGGCTGATTCTCTAAAGCCTGTGCTTGAGCAGGGTCATGGACCCAACACACTAAAGTCCACAATCTTTTCCTTCAGGTCTTACACATCATTCAGAGTATCGTGTCTGTGGCCAGACTGGACACAATGCCCAGCTCTGGACTATCTGCAAAGATGCCCAGATAATATTTCCACCCTTCCACTGTAGATATAAAATCCTACCCTGATGATTTGCAGAAGTTAAATATGAAATATGAAGTAGAAGAATTCAACCCATAAGGGACCTCACCAGTGAGGTGCCACAGGAACTGCAAGGAAACCTTTCCATGCCGTTAGCATTGGTAAGTCACCAAAGGCAGATGAGACATGAATCTTTCTGGGCCTATCCCAGAGGCACATTTCACTGAAACAGGCCCAGGATGCTCCAACAGCACAGTGCACAGAGGTTCACTGACACTCAGCCGTGCAGCAGCCTGGCACAGCTTGTCCCACTGCACACCCTCTCAGCCTGCAGCCCTGCTGAGCAGCAGGCAGCATCCCACAGCAGGTTTTGTACAGCATCCAAGGGTTCTTTGTCCTGCAGGACAAACGCGTCTCCCATTCCTTTCAAGGATTATTTCCCTGCCTTCCCAGATTCCTAACAGCAGTGTACCTTGTGGCAACACAGCCCAGTCAAGCACTGTCTAGCGCAGCTAATGAAGCCAGCTGAGGAAAATCGCTTTACTCCAAAGGTGATTCCCAACAATAACAGTCCCTGCTTATGAGCAGGGTGCTCTTTGCTAGACTGGAAGGGGAGATGGACTGTACAGCCTCTAATCTTTCTGCAAAGTACCCCAAAATGCCTTCAGAGCTACCAAAGATGCAGCCTTTTGCCTTTCACAAAACAATTTTCTGCTTATGGTTTGGTAGAGAAGCCTTTTTTCTGTCGGATTTCGCATTGGCTGTCGTCTGTGGTCACCTCTGACAAGGGTGGCATCTTCCTGGGGAGGAGACAGGAGGTGTGACCACAAGGCCAGTTGTGCTGCAGTCTCGGGGTCAGTGCCAGTGGGTCAGTGCAGATCTGCTAACTACAGGCAGAGACAGCCACAGACACTGAAACACCATGTCTCCTGTGAACCTGATGCTGTTCTCCCAGTACCAAATAGATCCTTTACTTTTGTACCTAATGTTGGCTCCTGAACAGGCTGAAATGGCTCTTTTTGCCCATTTTTCACTTGTTATTGTTTATTGTATAAAATAACAAACTGTCATCCTGACTCGGTGTTTCTTCCTATTTTATTGCTGTGAAGATCTAATTCCTGGCTACGAGAGAAAGTTGCTCACTTCTACAGTGACAACTGTGCCATTTGCTAAGGTCAGTTTGAGAACACCTAAAATTAGATGCAAGCACACTAATTTTGTAACTGCATTAATAAATTAGCATGGTGGCCTTGTTACTCTGGTGCTACAGGTGACCCTCGTAATCCATATAAAACTCAGACGTCCTGTGCATTTGTGTTCTTCCTCTCTTTATGATGGAGTCACTAACACTTTGCCTATGTCCATTTTTGTCCAATGCTCTCTAAGCAGGGAGTGAGTCGCAAACGAGTGGGTGCAGTGGGTCCTGGTTTTGCATGAAGTTAGCTATTGGCAGTGGAGGGGACACACGCTGCTCACAAATGTCCTGGGGAAACACCTCTGATGGCAGAGGGAGCTGCAGCAGAGAATAGCTGGGCAGCAGTGCCAGCCTCACCCAGCAGTGTGGCAGGCTCGGGGTGCTGGCTCCACGCTCTGCTCGAGGGCAACAGCTGCCCAAGGTGCTGTGGTGCCTGAGCACCACACTGGCCTGGTGCAGGGAGAGGAGCTGTGAGCAGCTCTGCGTGCTTGTCCCCCTCACTCAGCACAGGCTCTGCCAACAGAGCAGCCCAACAACCGCAGAAGCTTCCTCCACACACTTCAGGTGGCTCCAAATCCCCCAAACCCA